TTCTTCGCGCACTTTCGGATCCGTCACACTAACAGATATCTAACGGTTGTTTTTCTATCACATTGACTTGTGCTAACAATTGAGCCGATGTTGCTCTTCGTACAGTTATCATCATTATTGACGGTCATTTCCATCATCGCTAAGAAGTCGCTACTAATTATGACGTCTGTGTTGTCGCTTTGTTCGGCACGACATGCATTATACACGGATATTCAGAGTCTACTTCTATTATTGTATTTACCTAACGAATGCACCTCGTTTTTTCCAAAACCGGTTAAACAGATACTATTTCCCTGTGACTTATTTAATTTCATTTTATCATAAACGTCTTTGCGTATCACCGTAATTTGACTGCCGGTATCAATTAATGCACTAACCCGTGCACCGTTCACCGCGATTCGTTTGAACATTCTACTATTTGATGAATCGGTAACCGTATTAATTAATGTCGTCTTTTTATCCGCTACCGCTTTATTATCGTCCGACGCGTTACACAGATTTGCCGTATGCCAGAATTTTTTACATTTGAAACACTTTTTACCTAATTCTTTCTTCTTATAATACAATCTTTAGCTTTGTGTCCTTTATCGCCGCAGTTGTAGAACCGCACATCCGTCTCTTGTTCTTTTTCGCCACTCTTTGATGTTGTTGGCTTCCTCGCTTCCTCTGTCTTCTTTGATGTATCGTTCTTCTCTCTCGCTTTCGTCCTCTCAGTATTCTTCTTCCGAATTACTTTCGTATACTTTAAGCTTCTCCTTGAAGTCTGTCAGTCTTTTAGCTCCGTACAGTATTATCTTGCCTTGTGCGTCCTCTGGAATTCCGTCAATCACATACTTTATAAGTGCTTCCGCTTCTATCTTGCCTCTAGCAGCTATCTCCTTCATCGCATAATAGTGTTCCTGTAAGGTCTCGTCTCTCTTCAGTCTTCTTTTCACCAGCATATCGTGTCTTTGAGCACAGTTTATCTCATCTATAAACTCGTCTCGCAAGATTTCTTTTAACTTCTTCCACGACTTGATAACGCCTTTGCTGTTAATGAGCATTTTAGCCGGTTCGGCTAGTGATTTCTTTGCACTAACTTTTGTAATTCCGACCATCCGAACAAATTAGCAGCGTCTTCAATTTCAGATATCCATCTTTCAACTGGATATGTATCCTTTCCAGTAAAAGTTTTAATTGAATCTTGTACGTTTCGGTATGTCATGGAAAATTTCGTGTGCATTCGACCGCCTCTGGTGGAGTGATTCTCTACGAAGTTATTTTCATCCTCTTCTTTGCTTCTTCTTTTCTCTCTTTCGTCGTCTTGCTCGTCAACTGTTCCCTCATCACTCTTATCTTCGTCTAACTCATCGTTCTGTTCACGATCTTTGAGCGTGAGAGTATCTAAATCCATTAAACCATGCAGTATGCGTATCACTATCTCTTCTTTGTTTCTACCGTATTCTAAACCGAGGATATTGCAGCAAGATATTAGGTCACCGATCGTGAGTCCTCGCGCCGCTTCTATTTTATCCGCGTATCTCGCTGTGTCTTTTTTAAAAGTGAAACCCTCGAAGTCTCTGAGTCTGTCTATTTTTTCGATCACCTTTTTCGAAGATAAACTTATGTAAGGCCGTCACGGCAACGGTTGACGCCGTGCGTATCTTCTGCTTGATTGGTTCAATCTGCGCGAGATTGCTCATCTTGTCTTTGCACACTTCGCGTAATGTAGCAAATGTTTACCGTCACGCACTCGCTGTTGTTGCACTGTCTTGTTCGCGTACGCTCGAGACTATCGTCTCGCGTTCACTTACGTCTTGCAGTCCTGTCACCACACTTTCGATGTCGTTTCTAGCGCTACTGTCGCGCGCTTACCCTCGTCGTATTGTCAATGTACTCCATAGACTTATAAGATAGACGGAGCGTTCATACGTGAGAAATTGAAGATAACATTGAAGGACAGCGCTACTCCGGACATAGTTGTGTTTCTCTCTTTCACAGTGAGCGGTGGGGGACCAATCAGCTTGAGCGTATTGCGTAAGGTCACAACTTTTGGTTCGTGTGCTGAGAAGTTATAAAATCAAGTTTTTCAGGAACACTAAAATATTATTGTCACGTCCTGGGGGCGCGTGTGTGCGGATGCTCCTCGGACACGGCGTGGGCTCGTCCGACGACGGCTCGGTGTGATTGTCGCCCCGAGCGGCAAGGGCGATAATCACGGTTCGCGCGGTTAAGAGAGAGGTAACGATCACAAAGGAAAAAAAAAACTAGTTCGCATAAGTTAAGACGTTCTTTTATTCGGTAATCTCCATAGGAAATCGCGAGTTGATATGAATCGTCCAGTG